GACTTCAGCAATGGAGACTGAGGGATGACACATAGAAACTCGGTTTCTAATAACTAATTAGGACCGGTCAGACCTTAGCAGAGATGCCTGTGGGGCTGAGCCCCAGCAGCAAGAGTAGTGCTGAGGCTGAGGTTTTGGGTGCCGGAGGAGGTTTGGGCTGGTTTTGAGGCTGAACACAGGGAGGAGTCCCAAACCAGCTCCCTTTATGTGGGCAAAACCCGGGTAACGTTGCACTCCCCATGCGAGGGTGGCTGTGCTGTGATGGGATGTGGCAGGGTGACCAGCCACTGGCAGAGGAAGGACTCAGGATTTCCACCGCTGAGAGGAGGAGGAGCCCTGGGCTGCTGCTGACTTGTGTTGGCCCTGCATCTCACACTCTAGCACACTGGGAAACCCCAGGGGAGCCCCTCACCCCAGCTGGCTCCTAGGAGCCCTCTTGCTGCAAAGTCCAAGACTCAAACTGCTGAAATGTACCAGAAACTAAGGTTTTGCTGGTTTTTTCCTAGGACCTTTTCTGCTTAGTGTCCCAATCCCAGAGTCCTTTCACAGCCTCAGGAAATGGTACCTATGCAGCTGACTAGGCCCTTGTCCTCATAGCTTTTGGATCAGCTAGCTAATCCCAACCAGGGTTGAGAGAGCAAATGTTTTGTGAAAATAGATAGCAGGGAAGACATGCCACCAATAAAAAAATACTACAAGCAGAACCCTTAGCGAAACACCAGAGGATCTCAGCAGGACAATGAAGGGGGAAAGGAATGGTTCACCCGGAGATTGGCCCCAAAGTCATCACTCCATAGACAAATCCATCCCAAACTCAGCTTGCCTCAGCTCCATGAGCTGCTGTCTGTACTGCTCCCAGGACAGATCCCCCTTGCATCCAGTGTCCTGCTCCCACTCCCAGTCCAGGTTTGCTGCAGGGGCCACAGAGAAGCTCAGGCTGCCTCATACCCAGTGCTCTGCCCACCCTGGCCTCTCAATGCAGCCTTTCTTCACTGCCTGCGGAAATCCACTTCCTCCAGCACCGTTAACATTACAAATAAAACCCCAAGTAATTTTGGTCTGGGCATTTTGCTGCCTTTCCTCCTCTGAGCTGCCTCAGAAGCGCCGAGGCCGGCGCGGGGCCGGGAGCAGCATGAACACATAAAGCCCCGTCTGTCGGTGCCGGGGCCGCGCACACAGACGGGCAGTGTGTCTGCTGCAGGGTCCCACAGACGATTTGCCATGATTTTTTTCCCCCTTTTTGCCCAGGGTGAGAAGGAGTGGATGGACTCATCCTCGCTCTGGCAGGATGGCTCCAGAATTGAGCAGCCAGAGTTGAGCTGTAGCTCAGTTCTCTCCAGCTGTGTGGGGTAAACCCTAACCCTGCCCAGCCCCGTCATGTTGTGCCCTCAGTCTCTGATTTCTGTGCTCTTCCCCCACCCCCAGGTGCAGGATGGGCCTTGGCTCCCTGCTGCCCTTCCAAGACCTGACTCTCTGGGTAGGCACAAAGCACTCACTTCCTTCAGCTGCCTTGGCCCCATCCCTCCAGGCAAAGGGGAGCAGGGACTGTCCAAAGCACAGAGGCCCCTGTTCCTCCTTCCTTTCCACCAAAACCCTCTGGGTGGGCAGACAGAGTTCTTGCTGCAGGGGTTTCCATAGGTCTGCCATCATCCCCACCATGCTCTGTGGGGCAGCTCTCAAGGCTCAGCAATGCTGGGATCTGGGGCCACGTCCTGAGCCCTGTAGGGCTGCCCAGGGCAGGGCCAGGGCATGTGCCAACATGACCCAAACTGCTGCTGCTCAGGGCAGGATGCCTCCTCCAAGCCTCACAGCCTGTGGAACCAGCAGTCACACAGCTGGAGGGACCTGGGGCCTGCTCAGGGCTGGGGAGGTTTCCTGAGGTCCGGACTTCCCCCGGTTCACGCTGTGCTGCACTGGAGAGCGAGCTCCCTGCTGACATGGGGCTGCTATTAAGGCAACTGGCTAATTAATTTTCTCTAATGACATGTTTCCTTCAGTGCAGCTGTGACTCCTGAGGTAGGCAGGGCCAGGGCTGGCTGATGCCAGAGTTCCCTGCTGTTGCTGTATTACTGGGGTTACGCAGCCCCAGAGAAGGGCAGGCTTCCCAGGCCGTGGGAGCTGTGTGTGTCCTAAGCAGCCTGTGGGCAAAGGGGTCTTTATCATGACTCGGTCCCCCACTGAGGATCAAAAACAAACTGGAGGGGAACTTCCTGGGTGCCTTCCTGCCAAGCAGGATGCTCCATAGCTGCATGTGGCCAGTGGAAAATAACTGGCTGGTGTGACACTGGTGGTAAAGCAGCTTGTTCTCCCTTTTCTCTGCCCCAGGAATTTGGGATAAGCCCTCTCACTTCTAAATGGGGGATCAGTGATGGAGAAAACCTGTGGAAAAGAAGTTTCTTGCTTCTCTCCCCACCCTGGCTGGGTGAGGAGGGTCTCGTGTGGCAGGGCCGGGCAGACCGTGCCACCCTGGGGTGCTGTGTCCTGCAGGCAGGTGATCAGGCTGGCACTGCACCCCTCCCTGGCTCAGGCTCCAGCACTGCTGCATGCTCTGGACATGTCTGTGCTGTTTCATGGGTTTTCCAAGCACTGAAATACTTGTGCTTGGCATTCATGGTTCCGTTTCCAGGGCTGCTCATCCCTGTTCTAACAACTCTTGCTCTGCCATGCCACTGTCGGCTGCTTGTCCCTGTCCCACACACGGTGCCATCAGTCGAGGTGGTAGCACTGCCTCCCCTTTTCGGTTCCCCAGGAGTTCAGGCCTGCAGCCTGGCATGTGCAGATGCCCCAGGGAGGCTTCCTCCAGCCTGCCTGGGCTGGTTGGGTGCTGGGCTGTCCCTCTGCAGCACCACACTCGCTCAGCACCCCCTATCTAATCTGCTCCCGTCCCGTGCTCTGCTCGTGGCCACCTGCCTATGGGGCTGGAAGGAGCTTCTTGGTCAGGAGACCTGGTTTCTATTCCCGTCTCTTACCTCACCCCTTGCTCTGCAGCATGCCTGGCCTGGCAGCTCTCCAGGGCCACATTGGGTGCTCACAGGGTCCAGGTAATTAACTTGCTGCCATGAAGAGCTTCACTGTGGGCAAGGCTGCAAGGTCAGATCTGAGCCTGTGGCCCACGCCGCAGGTGGAGCTTGTCCATCCTCTCTCTGCAAGGGATGGGGATGGGGACAGTCCAAGCATCAGCCCTGGCTGGGAGAGCACTGCAGGCTGTGGCAAATGCAGCCCACTGGTATCCTGGTATGGAGATGGAGCTGAGTTTACAAAGCAGTTGCCCTTCGTACTGGATCCACATCTCTGAGCCTCGCTTCATTGCAATGAGGGTGTTTACTCTGCAGCATCCCTGGGTGCATCTGTCACCTCCCTGAAGGGCTCCAGAAATCTCTTCTGCTGCTTGTTGTTTGGTGTTTTTTTTTTTTTTTTTCAGGAGAAAAGATCAGGCTTGGCTAGTATCTAATCAGCAGCTATTCCAGTTCTGCTGTTAAATGAAATGAAGAGCCTTGGTTTTAAATCCCACTATATGGTTTTATTTGCATTTATACTCAAGCTCTTTTTCCTTGAAGAGGTTGTTTAATTACCGTTGGTTGGTAACCATAAAAAGGTAATAACTGGCAACCAAAGATAATTTTTACGCTTAATTGAGTGCTTTGCTAAGCAATAGGATGTAATTGCCTTAATACATATAGGTTACAGTTTACACTGTTACTTTTTAAACGTTTTATTTTTCCATCTTACTGGTTTGCTTGCAACTGGATCTGTTAAACTTAAATGGAAATTGAATTCATTTAGTGCACCAAAATAGCATCGTAGAAGGGTTTGGGTGCCTTTTCAGTGAATCAGAGCAGTGGTTCGACATGCACTCTGTAGGAAGCTGATTTAAGCGAGGTGCTACCCTCAGACAGTGACAGCCTGCACAGGAGGATACATCCACACCAGGAAGTCCTGCTCCCACGGGCACTTCTTCTGAAACCCTGGGTGAATCCTTTCTCATCTTTGTGCTCAGCTCTCACCTGGGTCTCCGTGCACCTTTCCCAGCAGTGGCTGCAGCCTCCACCCTGCTGCCCTGCTCCCCCTGAGCCCTGTCAGCCAGCCTGCCATGGGCTGCCTTACCTTATGGGGCTCTCCCCCATCAGATCTTAAGAGGGATCTTAAAAACAGTGGTCAAGTCTATGGATAGGACTTGGATTTGTGTTGATCTTTGGGGAGCTCAGGCTGCTGTTTCTGGCTGAAACAGGAAGGAGGGTGCAGAGGATGCTGCTGAGACTGTGGCAGGAGGGTTGTGGCCAGAGCTCATCAGTGGGCTGGTGCAACTGAGGCCCTGCTCTGTGTCACTGTTTTATTCCAGGAAACAAATAGTGGGGTGGCTGCTGTGGCAGAGGATGGAGGGCACATCCCTGCTCTGTGTGGTTGCCCTGACACAGCAGCAACGCTCTGTGCTGGTTGTGCAAACCTCCTTGTCCCCTCACTTGGCCCCAGCCCTGAAACTCGGGCAGGGAGCACGAGGCAGGAATGGCCCTGTCTCCCGCAGAGCTGGCTTCCTTCACTCCTCTCCATTATGGCATATTTTTACCATGTCTGCTCTGGAGTTGGTGGGAGCTCGGGTTGATGGCATGGAGAGCCCTCAGTGTTGTCAGGCAGCGCTAGAAAGGGGCTGAAGCCGTGGGCTGATGTTCAGAGCCCTCCCTTCCCTCAAGGAGCTGGGAGCGTTTCCCACCCTTGTCCGAGGCAGGGGCTTCTTGGCTGGCTACATCCCTTCTCCCCTGGGGCCGCTCTCTTCCTTTGCCCCTCTTGTTTCCCAGGCAGAGGTCACTGCAGTCAGCACGGTCTGATGGGAGCTGCCGCTCCAAATCCACCAGCCCTGCCCTAGTGTGGTCTGGGATCTCTGGTTCTCACCACGCACAGGCTGAGCCTGGAGGTTTGTACAGACATGGGGCAGGAGTAGAGCTGTAGCCAGGGGGACCAGCAGGCACTGCAGCATAACCAAAGCAGGCCCACTCTTGGTTCCCTGTCAGGGAAACAGAGATGCTGTTGTGTCCAGAGCTCTTGTTTGGTACAGTCATAGCTGCTTTGTTATGGATCCAAGGATGAGTGCACCTTCACCACCTGTCCTGGGTTGCTGCAACTTGTCAGGCCTTGGAGGATCACTTGGAGAAAGTGAAGCATCCACACTAACTCCTTCCCTTTCCATCTGAAACAAGAAGGACATGGTTCCCTCTTGTCTCCAGGAGCTGATGAGGGTGATGCCTCAGGCAGTACAGCCGAGGCTTTCCTGGCATGTGGTGCAGGAAGCACAGCTCCTCCAAGAAGATGCCAGAGGAACGAGCTCTGACCTGCGTCTCTCTAGGTAACCAATAAACACCTAAACCCAACATTGCTGCTCCGGTGACTGGAGCAGCAGTGACAGCGCTGGAGCTGGGGATTTTCTGACCTGCAGGGCACCAAAGACCCCGAGCAGACCCCAGGGGTTGGACCCTGGAGGATCACAGCTGGTATGGGGTTTGCTGGGTCTCCCCCAGCACAGCCAGCCGCAGCAGCACCCTGCTTTTCCCACTGTACCACAGGGTTTGCGCTGGAGCTGGGTGGGAATGGATTGCCTTTTTGGGTGATAAAACCATGGTAAACAAAGCTGTGGCATTGCAGCAATGATGTAGCAAATGTTAATGCAAGGGCTTTTGGGAAGGTGTTTTTATTTTAAAACAAAACTGAGACAAAAGTCATTTGTGCTTGCGCTCTTCCACAGCTCACAAGCACCAAGTTGCTCCTATGGGAGGTTTCACCAGGTGCTGTGCTTGGTGACAGCGCTGGCTTTGGATGTGCCCTTATTCCTTAGGAGCTGACAGACGGGTGATGGGCATCTTTTGTCTGTCTGTCCCCGGGTGATCAGGATTTACTCACAATCTTTTGTTTCCTTGGCTCTCGCCTTCTGTGTCTTTCCACCATCATCTCTTAATGGCTTGAGTCTTTGTGTGAGTCTGGATTAGGCTCTCGGTTTTATCAGGCCCTCCTTTGTTTCTGGAGCTGGGGGTGCTGTGATGTGCTGGGCTGGATGACCTGCTAATCCAGGTGCCATCAACACCTGCCCTGCTCAAAGGCCTCTCAGCGACTCCCTTGCTCTTCACCTGCCAATTTTAACATCTCTTCTGCAATTCTTTACAAACCAGGTTTTACACCAGGCCAGAGTGGCCCATCTGCCCGGGATCCACTTCCTTGGCGGTGCTGGACACCAGACAGTTCTGTGGGAAGGAGATGTGTGGCTACTTGGAGAGAAGAGCTTAGGGAAATACCACTCTTGCAGTGGGGGAGCTGCGTGTGCAGTGGGCTCAGGGGAGCTGCTTGTCCCCACAAACACTCCCGTCCCACAGCACCTCCTGGCAGGGCTGCCAGTTCCTGACGCTGCGGGGAGGTGCCCTGGTGTGTGGAGTCCAGACTAGTCCACCTTCCCTCTGGCTTTCCTTTTCTAGTCAGAAAGTGGCATTGTGATTTCAGAGTTGCTTAGGCCTTTTTGTAAGACAGCTCTGCCCAGATCTTTCCCCTTCATGACCTCAGTCATGGCTTGCAACCTCACGAGAGGCTGTCCCGGGCACAGGCCAGCTATTGAAAGCCAGGCTGGCTGGGCATCTGGCCACCACCTTTCCTGTTTACCCCACGGTGACAGCACGGCTCTGTGTGTGTCTCTTGCTGCGTGGGAGCAGCAGTTGGGTGTTTACTGAGTAAGCACCCGCCAGTGCCCAGCCGGGATCCGTCAGCATTGCCCAGCGCACGCTCTGGAGCTGGTGGGATCTCACCCAGTGCTGAATAGCAGTGCTGGGTTTAGGGCTGGAAATCGTCACGTGAAAAGCTGTGCGTTTTGGTGCCTGATCCCAGGAAACACAGTGCTCAGCTCTTTTCCTTCCAGGTGTTCCTGGTGTAAGCATATCCTATGCCCGAGCTCCAATGCAGAGAGCAGCTCTCCTTATTTGGAGGCACGTTCTGGCCATGGACAGCTGGATCCAGGCGAGGCCAAAGGAGCATCACTTTGGTCTTCATGTTTAAGTTGCCCCAGCTGGGGCTCCCCGTGAGAGCTTGTTCTCAAAAAGTGCTGAACAGGGCTGTGCATCCCTGCGGGAGCCCTCCTGGGACTGAGGCCCTGGGCCGGGGAAGGTTTGGAATTCTCCAGCTGGTCAGGATACTGCAAAGGTCTCAAGAGAGAGACACATTGTGTCTTTTTTTAGGGCCTGTTAAGTGCAGTAGCTGGAGAAGAGCTCTGATAACTGTGTCTGTTCTGAAGAGCTTATAAAAACTGCTGAGATTTCCCCAAAGCAGTACAAGAGTATGCTGCTTTGCTGCTGGATGAATGTTTCTTGGTGATGGCATCTGATCTGGATGCTTCTTCACCGTAGAGAGGAGGGGCATGGTGATAGATTAGCTTCAGTATCTTTATTTTTTTCTGTAGTTGGCTCATCAGGCCTCCGTGACTTGGGTAGAAACTTGAACAGAAATCATCAAAATATTGACTGTGTGGCTTTTAAGTTGTCTGGAGAGTCCATCCTGATGTGGCTACATTCCTGTTTTCTTCCTGTTTACACCCTGAAAAACCCTCACAGGATCCGTGTTAATGGACGGGCGGTGTGAGAGCCCTGTGGTTTTCCTGCTCCCTTATGCTGTCACACTGTGTACCAGCTGTGGATCTGGGGGGATTCTTGCTTGCTGGCCCTTTTTGCTGAGGTGGGAGGCTGAGGAGCTCCCCATTTCTGTGAAAATAGCTGCACATTGTGCTGGTGGTGTGTTTGTAAATAGCTCATGAAGGCGGCTCCCAGAGCACACCACCAGCCCTGTTAGCTGTAGTTCTCTCTTGCTGCCCATTTCACCTCTGCCTCTAGCAGCAATTCCACACTACAGGTAAAATTACTCACAATATGTGCTTTACTCTTGCCAGCCACAGACTTTTTAAGTATCACTTTCCTCCACTTCATCAGGCTGGGGGAACTAGAGGGTCTACTTCCTCGTTTTCCTCAGGTGTATTTTTTCAGCACCACTTTTGACTGTTTCTCAATGAGCCAAGGAAGACTTATCGAAATTTCCTACAGAATCAGGTCTCAAGTGGTATTTTTAACAAACCCAAATCATTGAAAAATGTTTCAAAGTTGCTCTAGGGTAGAGGGATTGGTGATGCTGACCCCACAGAACAAGAACACAGGGCTTGAGGGGGAGGAGGGTAAAGGAAGGTCCCCTAGAGCAGGTCTCAGGCCTCAGAAAGGCCAGGAGGACAGAGGAGCTATTGAATCCCTTTCCCGAGTGTGAACCTGTGCTGGATTTGGAGTTAAGGGGATAAAGAGGTTCAAATTCTGTTCTCCTGCCCTGTTTCTCCTCTCAGTGTGGGATCTCTGACAAACTTCTCATTCTTAACTCTGTTCCACAGGACAGGGACAGGAGACAGGAGAGCCCTTGGAGACACCATCACCTTTTCCTAGCACAGTGCTAACCTCACATCAGCCAAGGGAAGCCTCTGACTTTGGTCCAGCAACTACTGCCATTCCTCAGACAAGCTTGGAGAAAAACTTGACTGCTGCAACAATCAGTGCCACTGGGGCCCACACTACAGAGGTGGAGAATGCCTTCATCCCTACCACCCCCATGGCAGGCTCCAAGGCAGAGAGACTGCAGGCTTCCACCACTGCCAGCCCCGGGGACATCACAGTTACACATCCTGAGCACCACAACACGAGCTTATCAGTCAACAGCAGCACTGAAATCCCCTCCCCTACCCCAACTGCCAGCACTCTGGAAGAAAACCAGCCCAGCCACGAAGCCACAGAGCCTTTCAGCACAACTGAAGAAACGGATGGGGCCACCAGTGCAACCCCCTCGCTTCCTCTGAACACTGTGCCGGGTGAGGATTTGCCTTTACTGCCTGTGCAGAAAGTCCTGCCTCGAGGATGCACAACCTGGAAATATCTGAGCACTCTCCTGGAAACTGGAGACAGGGAGAAGGGAATGAGTCATTAAGTGTAGCCAGTTCAGTGGGACTTACTTGTAGAGGTGTTAGTTCAACATCCTCTTTGCAAACCCCATTAATTATGGTATTAATTGTGCTGGCGGCTTTGTGATGAGGACATTGATTGTGTGCAGGGACATCCTTTATATGTCTCATCTGAAACAACATGCGTCAGCAGTGCTGCCCAGCTGGGCTCTTCCAGCACCAGAGCTGAGGGCTCGGCAGGAGCCTTCCCTGCTGCCTCAAGAACGGGGCAGCAAACCCTCCCTTAGCACAAAGCTGTAACACAACAACAGCCCCAGTCCCTGGGCAGCCCCCTTAGTGCTCCCCATAAGGAGAGATGAGAGACCTTTCCCGGTGTCTTGCTCTGGGGGAACCCCCAGCTGTGTGCAGAGCTGTTAGAGCTTGTCCTTTGTCCCCAAGGACAAGCCTTGTGGGCCCAGCTGAGGTTGGCTGACACTGCACATATGAAAACCAAGAGGACTTTCTAAGCACTGTGACTTAACAGCGTGGCTCAGCTGTGCCTGCACTGTCAGTCCTGCTTGTTTTCCAAGGGACTGACAAAGAGCTGCTATTCCCGTAGTCCCACCAATCTTCATTACAGCCTTGCTTCCACCTTGCCCAGTTCCACAGAAGCGTGCTTGCTCTTACCCTTTAAATTAACTCCTTGTTCCTATTTTGCAGCAACAACTAATAGCTCTCAGCTGGGGCCTTTTGATGAGCAGACGGTGGGGCCCACAGCAGCAAGGTCTGAAACCTGGCCAGGAACGAGCCCTGTGGGTGCCACAGAGGAGAGCACTGTGGAGCCCAGAACCTCCTCTGCTCCCATCTCCACCGTAGGGAGCCCGTCCTCTGCCACTGCCCCCAGGACTGTGACGGTGAGACCCCTCATGACCAGCTCCACGTCTGCCAGCACAGCTGCTATGCCCACCAGCACGTCTACACTGGCGCCGTCATCAGAGCCCAGGCATGAGAAAGCTTCTGTGCTGGATGTTGGTGATGATGAAAATTCAGGTAAATGTTCTGCTTTTGTCCCTGCTCTCACAAAACGTAGCAAAGGGCTGGGGCTACCTCAGATTGCCTTGTGGTTGTACTGAGCAGAACCAGAAAAGACAAAGCCTTGCTGCTCCAGCCCTTGAAGGCTCTCCTTTGGCCTCATTCCTTTGGTATCCTTTGCAGAGCAACCCAATCTGGCTGATACAGCACGGGCTGATCCCTTGGTAATCACCGTGATCTCCGTCTTCATTGTCATGGTGGGCATCCTCGGCCTGGTGGGCTTCTTGAGATACCGGCAGCACAACAGCCGCATGGAATTCCGGCGCCTGCAGGACCTGCCCATGGTGAGTCATCCCTGCAGCCCAGCCTGACGTGGTCTGGCTTGCTACTGACTGCTTTGCAGTTCCCCTGCTACTACACTAGCAATGCTTTGGGTATTTGCAGCAGCGGCAGCAGCAATGCTGATCACACACTCCTGTTCCCTCTTAGGTCCCTCTCCTTCCATCCAGGGTTTGAATCAAGACAGCAAGTCTCAAGGTTGGGCACTAAAGAAGCTCTCTGCCTTCCCCTCACTCTGCAGGGGAACGCTAAGAGGTTAAATAGAGGGAGGAAGGAGAGCTCCATCCAAACCTGTCCTGAAATGACACCTTCCTAGCCTCTTCTCCTGTCTTCTGATATATTTGCTTTGTGACTGTGACAAAGCAGATCCTGTGCTGTGTTCCAAGGCGGTTGTCTGTCTGTCTGTCTGTCTGTCTGCATTTGACCCTTTGGGAATATAAAAAAAATATGAGGGCTTTAGAGGGTGAATTAGCTCTGGGGAAGCTGCAACTAACTCCTGTGCTTTCTGGGACAGAGGAGCACGGGAGCTAGCAAACAACCTGATGCTGTTTCAAGCAAGCTGATGCTGTTTCAAGCTGAGTGGAGTTTTCAACAGCCGGGGTTTTCCACATCCCTGCAGCGGGCAGGCAGTTCCTGCACACACCTCTTCTCTCCAACTGCCAGAGCAGGAAGGAGAGTGGCAGCCCAAATACCCAGCAGCTGCGCAGGGACAGCGTTTAGGTGGATGGCTGAGCAGATGGCCACACTGTGACAGTGTGGAGAGAAGGCTGTGCTGCCTGCACAGCTCTCTTCCAGGCTGGCACTGTACTGCCATGTGCAGACACCTCATTAAAGCACTCTTCTCTGCTTCTAGGATGACATGATGGAGGACACCCCTCTCTCACTCTACAGCTACTAGGCAACCAGGTTGTCCTCTGCCTGGCCGGCTGAACTTCCCTGAGGAAAAGGCCTTGAGGACTTGGTCCCAGACGATCTGCCAAGGAATGAGGGGCTATGATTTGCACACAGCTGAAAGATCCTTTCCCGATGGTTTTTCGTTTTAGACGTTTTTAAATAGTTCAGTGTTGAAGTTTCTATGCTGCGAATCAGAGCCCAAGTCTGGCCCTTTCCTCCAGGCTCTTCTCAAAATAATGCCCTGAAGAGCTGCCTCCTCCTCTTAGTGTGGTGACCAGTTAGCCAAGACAACCTTTGCCATCGTGTTCTGCAGGGATCTCTTCTGTCCATCTGGGTGTCTGCTGCTTTCAAAGGAGGTGGGCAAGTGATCCATACAAGGGCTCTTAACACTGGTGGTGTCACCACAGTGCTAACAGAGGAGACTGCTGTTTTCTGAGGGAGCCCAGGATGTGGAAATCAGTTCTTTTGGGCTCCCTCTTGTTCTGTGTTTTTAAGGTTGTTTGTTTGGGGTTTTTTTCTTGCACTTTTATTGTTCCTGTTTCAGCTTTAGTCCCGGGATTGGCACTGCCCATCCTGAAACACCTACCAGGAGGATAACAGACTGCTCTGCTTCCTTCCTACATGCAAACCTTTTCTCTTTAACCAGGGAAAACAGTTTTGTGGCCACTGGAGAAGTGCCCTTGCTACTTGATGTTGCTTTGAAGTCGCTGGGAGGAAAATTAACATAATTTTAGCTTAACAGAACTTGATAGGACTCAGTCTCATGCCAATTAGACACACTAATTTGGTCTCAACCAAAATTAGGAAGTTTTGTCTCCTACACCCGATGCTTTCAGCATACATGTAAATGCCTTTCCCAGGCTCAGTAAATGCTTTAGTCCATTTTCCTGCCTGGACTGACACATGCCTTTCCTCAGGTGCCTCCCATTTTCCTGCTAGCATCTGGTTGCTGGAAGTTGTTGTACAAAACTAGTACTTCCCTGTCCCTCCTGTGCTATGCAAGGTCAAAACTCCTTTACCTTCTGATGTTGGTCTTTGAGCCAGTCTGTGTCTTGTCACAAGGACAGGTCCTGGATGTAGGTGCCTTCCCCCCCTTCCCTTTCTAGGTGTTAGGCTGATTAGATTCTGCACTTTTGCCTCAAAATATCACTGCTGTAGACTGCATCCAAGGCTCTTGAGGCCCCTCAAGGAAACCCACGGAGCAGAGCCTCTGAGTGTGAGTCTGAGGATCTTTTGGTGCCCTCACCTTAGAAAGACTAGACTGTGTGTGACGTGACAGTCCTCGTGTAGTTACACCTGCTCCTGTTTCGTAGCTCACTTTTGTCTGCAGGTAAATAGAAATGCCTTCTCTAGAGTGTTTGACTTTTGACTAAGCCAGTTGCTCCCTCAGGATACAGCAAGGGCCAGAGATTATCTGCCTCTTTGCTCTTACAAGCCTCAGTTTTTCCTCTCCTTTCAGTAGCAACATCACTGACTCCACAAAGGACAGATACCAGACCTCACTAGCAAAAGTACCTTTTTTTTTTTTTCACAGTGCTGTTATTGCTTGTCGTAGCAGGAAAAGGGGAATTTCCCCATCAGCAGGGCCCAAATTATCTGCGAAGCCCAAAGATGGAGCAGAACTGGCCTGGGTCAGATAGATGAACCGGGCAAGGCAGCAGTTCCTCCTCCCTGCGTTACTGCTTCCCAAGTGGCTGCAGCGCAGTTTGGGTTCAGCTGTTGGCTTTGGCCTCTGTGTATTGTAAGGATGCCCAGTGACATAGGGAAGAAGGGTTGGTTCTCTCCTACTGTGGCATGAGAACTAAAGGGCAGTTGTCACAACTCCAAAGCTTTTGTATCCAGCATTGTCTGCACGGAGCCATCTCCCTAGCTACAGACTTGTTTCCCCCGCCGCAGGGCAGGGTGCTACTGGTTTTCGGCACGAAGTTGGCAAGTTTAGTCGTGGAAAATAGAACTCCATCCTGGCTGGAACTGGTGCAGGCTGGCATAGCTGGAAGGTGTCTCTGCACACACTCCAAAGGGCAGGGGCTGGTTGTTCTGGTTTCCCACGCATCGCTGTCCAGGGGAAAGGGGTGAGGAAGAAAACTCGCCCAACACCAAAGTGCAACTTTCTTTGTAAAATATGTTGATAGTGGATTTTTTTTTTTGTTTCTGCAATAAAGTTACAAATGCCAAAGCTGTCTCAGTCCTCATATTTTCATTGCAAACATCTAACTGAAAAGCTTTTATAGATCACAATGAATCCTGTCATAGATTTAACAGCAGCAGTTTGGGGCAGGAAGAATCACAAAGCTGATACTAGAAAATGCCAGACAGCTGTGAACTATAGCTCTGAGAAGGACACCACCCCCTGCTTGTGTTCCTTCTTGTCAGGGTCATTCCCTGTCTGGGTTGACTGAGATTAATTTCTGTACAGTTAAATCAGATGAAATCTGTCCTAGAGAACCGCACTAGACCAAATAATTCAACGTACACCTCTAGACTCCCTTCCTTTGCCTCTGATTGAAGATACTCTCATCCATTGTCAGCTGTAACCCCAAATCTTAGTTACAGAAATATCCTGAAAGCCAGCCTAATCCAAACCTAAGCAGCATCATCTGTCATGCTTCTTTCTATAGTACAGCAGACAAAGCAAATTGAAAGGTATGTACTTCTTTTTGTTTGGTTTTATTGCTGTTTTGAACTCTTCCCTTCAGAGCTCAGACCCACAGGTGGGGAGGCACTCAAAAGCACAGCTTTTGCTACAGACCTGGTAGGAGTCTCTCCTGAGCTAAGAGTCTTTCCTAGCTGTCAGAACACTTTGGCAAAATCAGTCAGCTCATGTCATATAGACTGTATTACAAGATTTTTCTGCTGCAAGAACAAAATGTGGCGAGGGGAACTACTTGGTCATTGGGCTTACGCTGGTTTTTAAAGAGTTCCCACAGCAAACCTAGAAAAGCAAATCCCTGGAAGATCTAGAGCAAGGGGAGAGCAAAGATTTCATAGCCTAGCAAAGTGCTTGCTGAGTAATCTGAAGACATGGGGGTGAACTTTAAACCCTGCAGAGATTTCAGGCCTGACCCAACATTAAACCACACAAAACAGAATAAGTAACAGAACAAACATGCCACAACTAAGCCAGTCTCCTCAGGTCTAAAGTCAGCATTATTCTGGTGCTTTATGTTGGAGTTTCTAATGTTCTGCCTTTCTACCACCAACCCCTCTCAGAGCTGATTCATTCTCTGCACAACAAACTGCTGAGCTGCCTTGTTGGAGAGGTTGCACCGTGCAGGTCTGTGTTAGCTGGAGAGGCAGCAGCAGGACAGGCTTGTGCAGGCAGCCACCCCTGGAAATGAAGCTTTCTGCCTTTGCCCATCCAAGCTGTGACCTCCCAGCCAGGTGATGCAAGCTCTGAGGTGGCCAAGTTCGGAGACGGACCATGGGCCACTTGTGTGGGCTTCATCTTTCCAGTCCAGCAAAGCAAACTGACAGAACCAGAACTCTGCTGTTGCCAGTTTCTGCAGTTCCCCTTGAACACAGCTCTCGCTTTTGATGAGGTTTAATTTTAATGCCTCCTGGGTTAAGGCACAGTTATATTATTAATTAGCAAGGGACCAAGAATCAATCGAATTACTTAGGTTTAAAGCCAGATAGAAGGGAAAGAAACCCAGGAAAAAGAAAAGCAGAGTTTGAGACCCACCTGCCACCTCTGCCCTCCCTTCCTCCTGTCTTCAGACTCATGTTTTGAACAGAAAGGGATTTGAGCAGCTGAAAAGTGACGGTGCTAGAGCTGCTGTGCCAAGGGCAGGGCTACCTGTGCTACGTGCCAGTTCTCTGCCCACTCACTTGTCCTTCATGGCTCAGTGCCTGTATTTTAGCTTTAGACACTGTGTATTTAACCATCATGTCACCCTGCAAGTCTGTAAATAAGGCTAAAGACACTGTTCAGAGACAGAGGAACTGCCACGAGGAGCACTGCAGTGGACAAGGCAGCGTGTGGGTCTTTCGAGACCAACAACCCCCTAAGGATTTCCCACGGATAATCGTCCCCTGCGCTCGTTACCACTTAAATCAGAATGAAAAAGGTCCTCTTGATACATTCCTAAGTGATAAGCAAAGCTGGAAGACCATGACTGCAAATATAAAAGTCTCCATCCGTATTAGGCTCCCAAAACTGTTTGTGGTTTGGGTTGTTTAATCACCCCGGAATTGTAATATTGTAATATAACTTCGAACTTCCCCATCCAACCACACCTGAATGGAGACTCTTCCTCACTTTAATGCCACAGGGGACATTTTTCCTCACAGATCTGAGGAAAACGAACCTTCACCCGAAGCACAACTTCAAAACAGTCTCAGAAGATAAAGCACTTAGACCTACTCAGAAGAGGACTTTGTAATGGTGCCTGGTGATACAGAGCTTGTGAATTAGATCCCCCACTACAGCTGACTCTGCAACATTAGTAAGCTTTTATAAGAAATCTTTAACTATTTCAGGAAAGAAGCATAGATGGGGTGTTAGACAGTGTCAAACCTGATAGATTTGTGCATTTTAAAAGACAAAGGGATCGATTTGTTCATCTGCTTGGCAGCCTGCACAGTTTTCCTTGTGCTTGTTCCCACTTCCTGCCTAATAAATATACTTGAAAGACATACTCGACACAGGTCTGCCTCACGTGCCCCAGCAGTTTAACAATGGTTAGCCTCAGTTCCTCTGCAATATTTTTTCTGTTGAATGACCCATCAGCCAAATTACCCCCTGAACCACAAAACCAGCTTGATCTTGATCAGACTGACAGTGGTCACAGCTGGAAGAAAATAAGTATGTGTTTGTTCCTACTGTTCAGCCCTCTGTCTATTTACAGGTAGACCAGACTCCCCACCCACAGTTCAAATAAAGAGCTAAGTAAGTTCCCTTATGGTAACTAAGCAAGATACCTTATAGTATCCTCCCAGTCATAAAACAGGTCTCCCTGTGATGAACTGCCCAGAATTAATATATCCCTGCAGCAGAAGCCTTTTGCTAGTGCTCTTTGAACTACAATGGAACATCTGTTGACAATCTCCCGCAGGGTAACTTCTCCCCCTCCCCTATTTTAATCCTCTCTCTCTCTCTCCTTCAGAAGTTCACATCGCTTGCCACAGGATGACTCTCACAAGCATTAGAGTGCTTCCTTTCACACTGGTCTATCTTGGAGCTGTGGGAAGAGGGATGAGCAGTCAGCCCCGCTCAGTGTTTTCTTTAAAATTTGCTGTTGTGTCCAAACTCCTGAAGCTTTTGAGGCTTAATTACAGGTTCTTCTTGGAACAAGACAGGGTTCATGGGTTCTGGAATGTGCCTTTCAGCCAGATTTAGACACTCATTTGATTCTGACTGAAAAGGGTTTTGCTGGAGACAACTGCAAAATTAGCACAGTTTTCCTTTGTGCTAATCCTGGCTGTGCCTTCTGACACTGGCAAATCAAGACAGTGACGTGATCATTGCTTCACTTTCCCTTCTGATAATCTTGGGGGTAGGATGAGAAATTTTTCCTACTTTTTAAAAAGGATCTCAGTATTTGTAGATGGAAGGCTATGTTTTTGGTGGAAGGAGCTGTGTACAATACTGTTTGGGGCTGTCTGGCAGGAAGGGAACCTGTTTTCTCAAAGGCCTTAGAGAAGCATTGGGAAAGGAGATCCCTTTATTTTACAGAGTCTAATCTGGTGGCCCACACTGAGTGACAGAGAATTGGTCACTCACATCCTGCTCAGCCTATTTCATGGACGCTCCAAATCTCTTTCCAGCTCACTTTCAGCGAGATCTAAGCGACTCAAGCAGGCTTTTACACCCTTGCCCATGATCTGCCGAGGGCTGCTCACACATTCAGATCCGCTCTAAGCAGCAGAGTTGAGCTCTGGGAAGCAGCTGTTCACTGGAGAGGGGAAAACTAACTCATCTCAGCCTGATCTTCAAAGCAAAAGCCACAGTTCATGCAGCTGAATGAGATGGAGTCCACAGGAGCAGCCTCTGCCACTGTGTCCTGTCTTGATCTGTGCTCAAGCCTCTGCTTGATGAGTCCTGCTGCTACTCCAGTGTCACCAGACTCTGCCTGCTTTTAAAACCAATCCGGACTGAGCTCTGCTGGACTCCCCTCACAGCATCCCTGACTCTCTGCCACATCCCAAAGTCCTTTGTATTAAATGAGAAGCAGGGAGCAAAGGGAATGCCATGGAGCTGTCTCCTGCACTATCCCACCTGCTAAACTACAAAGCCTTCAGCATCAAATGGTCTGTTGTCCTCTTTCCCCACAGTCTTAAGGCTTTCTGAACTCAGTGTCATTCATTCATCTCTTCCCTTCTCCTTCACCAGACAGCAATTCTAAAATTAGGTTATCTCAGAGCAAAATGGAATTAAGAAATTCAAACCACATTAGGAAATTTCTCAAGGCCCTTTTTTTTTGTCACTATGGCACTCTATTCTCATAAAACAAACCAGCAGCCTCCCCTTTATGGTCATCATGGAACTTTCTGTTCAAATAACAAAATTTCTCATCCTTTCTTGTGCCACACAAGAGGAAGCAATGTACCAGCACTTGTCAAGTCAGCTGCTCCATATTGGGTCTTATCAGACAGGGTAAATCCATGGTGAGCCTGTATCTATTCTCTTCTTGCTGTGCATTGTCTCCCTAAAAGGCACAATCTAAGCCCAGCTACACATCCCAGAGCTTTAGCTAGCTAACAGTTTAAACAATATTCCACCGTTCTGGTCCACCGAGTGAGAGCTCAGAAGATGGGAGAGGGCTGAAACAAAGGACCACAGCTAGGAATTCTCTCACCCCCGTTGCAGCCAAGCACCACAGCATCTCTCCCTGTGCAAGCCAGATGGCAACTGCAAAAGCTGATTGACACATCACAAATCAGGCCCTGCATCAGTGTCTGTCGCCTGGGGTGGAAGAACAGAACACACAGCACGGTGCTGTTGGGGTTCAAGGTGTAGGTCTGAGCAAGGGGGCACGAGGGGGCAGCCAACAGTTCAGGTCTCAGGTAGAGTGTGGGACAGGGCAGGTCTGTGAATGACTCATGAAAATGGCTGTGCCCCTTCCTTGAGCTGCCTCCCCTGGGTCAGCCCCACACCTCACAGCTTGCAGTTCTGGGAAATCCGGCTAAAAAAGAAGTCAAGAAGAAGAGTTTTGCCCACCTCGGGAAGACAATATCATTTCCGCCTTTTAGTTGTTCCTGACAGTAAAGAGTGCATCTTTTTGTTAATATTAAAGGTCATGCAGCTAGCTCTAGTTCAGGCAGGCTGTCAGGTCACTGCTGAGATCATCCACTCCAGCTATTTCTAGCCACTTCTCCTGCACTGCTCTCCTCCAGCTCCAAACACAGCGTGGAGATAGCTGTGCTTTCTACACCAAAACACCGAAGAATTGGCCTTCCCCAGACTTCTTATCCCATATGCCAGACCTAAGAACAAACAGCAGCCTTTGTCTAGCCCCTCCAGCACTGCTGGTTCAGTGTGGTCGGCAATCTGTGTCAAACTCTACTAAAAAACATCCTCATTTATCTCCTTCTGACACAGAAATACCAACGAGCATCCACGCAAGCTACGTGAAGTTCAAATAAAAATAGGTGCCCACGTGAATGAATCACGGTTCCAAGTGGGGTAGCAAGCTGCCAGCACAGCTACTGGGTGCCTCTTACTGTAGTACTGGCCAGGGTTTCTTTCTGATGCTACTAGGATATAAATATTTACTCCTAATAACTGCAGGTATTACTACAGCAACAGCTGCTTATTATTAAATGAGGGGGGCTTGCTTGAGCATTTGATCAGTAAGGCTCTGCTGATGTGTCTCAGAATAAATGCCGGGGAAAAAAACTTAACCCCTAGATGGGAACTGCAGGCTCATTAGACATTGCCCAAACAGCAACCTGACATGTTTCGACCGCATCTATAAAGCAGTTAATTGTAGCAGGTTTGCTAGCAAAGTCTGAATCAGCAGGATTAGTAAATTGGAAAAACAGAACACAGGGCAGTTTAACATGCCTTACAGCCTCCATTGACAAGAATCTTAAGCATCTTACTAAAGTAGGGCATGAATTTTTTTTCCTTTAAAGAAACATTAGCCCTTTGTTCCTGATTTCTTTTAATGCTAAGTGTTAATGCAAACACAAGGTTGTTTTATATCCTAAAAGCAAGGCATAAATCCAAGAGGATGAAGAGGCTGAGAAAGGAACCTTCTTTAAGTGAGCAATTTTCACCTCCTCACTGGCTGTGTGTCAGCACCAAAACAAAAAACTGAGCCACATTAAAAAACGGTATCTTGGCACTGTCAGAGGAAGTGATAAGTATCATAATTGGCCCTCACATGCAGCTTTTCATTACCTTGACACTACACGGGGAGGGAGGATGAAAGAGCAGGCAGGCACACACATGTTACCTCTGTCCTGACATAGCAATGCTGCTCTCAGAGCAAAGTCAGGACTGCCTTCCTGCCTTTATTAACTGCCTAACACTCGGTAAAACTGGGCACAGCAAGTACCTCTCATCAGCACGACCTCTGGAATGCCCTGGACAGTAAAGCTCTGTCACCCACACTGCTGTGGAAAACCCTGCCAGGTTCTTCAGGTCCTGGGGGTGCAGGATTCAGCCACACTTACCTTCAGCCACCTTGATCTCTGCAGCTCTAGGAAGTTCATTGGAGCTGAAGCCTCTGGGGTGGAACCCTCACCCAAAGATGGAGAAAACCACTCTGCCCCTCTCAGCAAGTTCTTGCTTCTTTCTAAAAGAAATTAAGCAAGCAGCGGATTAGGCCAAAAGTTCAGGGATGGACTTGCTGAGCCTAAACCTCCCCTGTCTGCCTTTTGTGACACCTGTTGTCTCGTGAAGAAACAGCTGCTATTCCACTTTTAACAGCATTTTCTTATTCTTGCGTGGGTACAACCAGTGGCAGAAGGCAGCAGAAAGGTCCACAGGTCCACGACAGGCAAGAAAACACATTGGCAAAGATGTGCAGGCACCGGATTTCACCTGTCTTTGACACCAACAGCTCCAACCAGCTCCACATCGTGGAGGTTTAAAACATGAAGAATCAGCCACCTCATTTCTGCTCAAAGCCACAGCCACAATACAAAACCCTTCCCATACAGGGGTCAGCTCGTGTTGTACAGGGACAACAGGACACCTGACCTGACCATGAGATCTCCAAAACAAAGAGAGGCTGGAATACCATGTCCCAGAGTGTTAATAACATTGGAGTAAGTGGGAAATTGTTCCTATGATCTGTCTTTCTCTGCAGGTGCTGTGGATGGCACTTCCTACCAGAACAGACTTTTCACTTGATTTTTCAGGTCAGAGACTGTAGAAGGATAGAAGGATAACACTGACAGTCCCTTAAGCTTAGCAATGCCTACTGGAACAGTTACTGGGGGTGGGTATGGGGTGGGAACCACTTTAATGGGCCTTCCAACAAAATCATGCCTCGAAGCAGCAGCAGGCAGCTCTGCTGAGCAATTCAGTCGTGTTTTCAGAGATGAACAGTCTGGCAGCAGAACCTCTGCCTCCCCACCTAGCCCTGCTCACATTGTTCTCTCAGTTGTGCCAGCACAATTTTTTTCCTGCAGCAGCACTGTGAAGCACACCACTTCAGGGGAAAAAAAAAATCCCAACAAAAACCCCGAACAATGACGCACTTGTTAGAACCAGCTCGGCTCCCTGATCGGATTTACAGCACGGCCAACAACTGCAGTGGCAGAAATTCAGGAGGCAATGTGCTGTGAGGCCAGGGCAGGAGAAAGCAGAGGGCTGGGAACATTTTAAGCTGATGCTGACAGAACAGACAACATATCAGGGCTTAACAACAGGTGGGAGAGTGACATAATAAGGGAAGGCATTAGGCTTTTATAGAGAGAAATAGGGAATTGATATTTAATTACAGGAGAACTGCAATGAAGTTCCATTATTCAAAACATCTCACCAAGTTCATACAATATTTTTTATCAAAGAAAACCTAATAATAGAGCTACATTGACCTCCAGACTCAGTGTTCATCAGTGCTTCCCTATTGATAAAAACAGACATTTATATGCTTATGGTCAAGGGCTAGAAAGATCAGAAAAACAGACAAGGAATTACGATTGTCCTTTAACTCCATTTCAGTTAACAAATTGCCATGAGTCTTCAAATAATTTCTATGAGTCTCTCTGAGGTTCCTACATAATGCAGAGCAACAGTTGTTCAACAGGGACAGAAAAGGGTTTCAAGAGCTGTGGATGGAAAGCAGAAGGAAAACCCCTTCTTTTATAACCTATACAACATTGTGTTTTGGTGATATTTATTTAATGCTGTGGAGAACACTGAGAACTAACGATTCTTTTTGTATAAATGCTTCATGATGGCACCTAATCATGCTGTTGCCCATGTGACATCAGCAGTAGCCTGAGGGAGATGAATGAGAGTGTTGTGTTTTTCCTAATTAAAAAAAAAACCAAACCGAACCAAACCACAAAACCATACCTGGGACACAGACACCTCATGGAGACATCGCTGCCTTCCCCTCAGGGAAGAGATGCATATCCTCTGTTTTCCTGCAGCACAAAGCTGTTTGGGGAAGCAAATGCTGGGAACAGTGACAGGAATCCTCTGTGATGGCTGGGACAGCTGGCAGCTGTCCGAGGGCAGCTGGGGTTGGTCAGAGGATGCAATTAAAGAGTCAGAAACATCTAAAGATCCTCGGTGAGGAAGCTGAGCTGTCACTCATTTCTCTCCAGGGAGCAGGCCAGAACCCTTGGGTAGGAGTTGGGGAGGGGGGGAGGAGCAAGGGCCAAGTGAGGGGGAGTTTGAGGTACAAACAAAGCTGGTTCCCACCAGCCAAGCACATGTGGAGCCCACCTCTGCCCTGACAGGGGGCTTGGGTAGGAGACAGCAATACTCCTGATTAAAGGAGGCAGATGAGATGGCTCAGGGAAGCCATGAGCTAACTCACACCCTGCCAGCTCAGCTCCAAGGACAGCTGGGAAGGGAACAGCAGGCACCCATTCTCAAGGCCAACACGGAATGAGCTGGAGATGCTAACCCTCAGGATACAAACGTCTCAGTACAGAGGTTGCCACTTAAAATCATCCTGAGCTGGAAGGGACCCACAAAATCATTGAGTCCAACTCCTGGCTTTGCAGAGGACACCCCTAAAATCCCCCACATGTCTGAAAGCCTTGTCCAAGCGAACCTGGTCAGGTTTGGTGCTGTGACCCTTTCCCTGGGCAGCCTGCCCACCCCTTTCACGAGCTGCCTCAGCAGGACTAAACACCTTTCCTGCACTTTGCCAGAGGTCATCTCCAGGAGAGGGCAGACTTCCAAGTCATACCTGCGTCAAGCTTTGCCAGTCACCTCACAAAGCTGGCAAATCTCCTACCCTCTGCATCGGTAAAGCCACACGCCTACTGCCCATGGAAATGAACCGTGTCCTCTATCCACAGGCAGGTACCCAGGACAGCTGGCAAAAGAGAACAGCAAGATGAGAGATCAGCCCCCAGCGTCTCGGAGCTTGCCAGCCCGTCGCCTGTGAAAGCAATCTGCCACAAGAGCCGTCCTGCAGAGCTCCGAGCAGCCACCAGCCAGCAGCACCCTCCTGTGCCACCCTCCTGCAGCTCCCTGGCTGCAGCTGCCTTGTCCCTGCCCTCATCAATATCAGGGGACTCCACAGAGCAAGAAATTCGCCTTTCTGAAGGGGTTCTGCCCTCAAGAACTTGCAGATTTGGTGTCCTTGGCACTGTGATAAACCCGGGACTTCAGGCTGGATGGAGAACGTTGCACAAGAACTGTAAAAGATTATGTTAAGCTGCTAGAACCATTAGGGTAAGAAGATCCAAACCCGAGGCTTGGAACACGGGCTTTCAGATGGGGAAGGAGAAAGGATTGCGAGCACACAGGCCTCGCTAAGTCTTTTAGCGAGCACCACCCACCCCCAGGGGCAGGTGGGGCTCTCCAAGAGTCTGTGGGAACACACAAACACCCCCAACCCCGGGAGGCGAGAATGTGCCCTGAGCAGGGGGAACCGCCCTCACCTCGCGCTGTCCGGGCTGGCCGAGCATGCTGGGACATGAAGTCCCCGCCAAGAGGGTCAACGCTGAGGGAGGGGGCGCCGCGCACTACAACTCCCAGCGTGCTTTGCGCGGCGAGGCGTCTCCCTGGAGACACGGGGGATATGGGGGGGGTCCCATCCCCTGTGGAACTACCATTCCCGTGGTGCCCCGCGCGGCGCCGCCGCCGCCATGGAGCGGCGCGTGGCGGAGCGGCTGCGGGGCGCGCTGGGGCCGCTCGGCCTCGAGCCGCACGCCTTCAAGGTAATGACGTCAGCGCTGCGGTACCGTGACGTCACCGAGACCTCACCGCGGTGCCGTCACCGCTCCCGGTACCGGGGGAGCGCGGGGACACGAACGGGGCACGGGGGGGGGGGGCGGTGACCCCGGGCGGGTCAGGGCGCCCCTCGGCCCGCCCGGCGCTGCGGGTGCCCCGGGAGCCGCTGCCGCCGGTGCGGGAGGCGCGGTCAGCCCGGCCCGGTGCCGCGGGGCTCCGTGACTGCCGTGCCCCGGCCCCGCCCGCTGCCGCAGGGCCCTGCGGCGGGTCCCGGAGCGGCGGGCAACGGGGAGTTGCGCCACAAGGCATCCATGGCCCGCAGGGAGCAGAGTCCTCCGGGCGCGCTTACATTTTAAGCTGAGCGTGGAAGCGCCTGTGCACGGAAGGGCTGAGCCCCTCAGCCGCTCGTACAGGGGCTGCGGACACCGCTGTCCCCGCTGCCACTGCCCCCCCTGTCCAGCTGCTCCTCTTTGCCCGCCCCGGGGGCTATCTGCAGTGAATCAATCTGCAATTAATCAATCTGCAGTGAATCAATCTGCAGTGAATCAATCTGCAATATCAAACACAAATCAGTGTGCAGTATCCAGTAAGATTCGATCTGCAATAAATGTAGCCCTTCCCCTGGGGGAGTGTTGGTTGTGTTTGCCACCTGAAATGTTTGCGTTGCCTGCTGTGTTGTTCAGGTGAGGAGCAAAAGGGAGCGAGGCGCTGGGAGAGGTGGGGTCTCCGGAATTTGGGGAATTTAATGGTGGTTCCCCAAAACACAGCAGCACAACTGGGGGTGGAACCCCGATAAAAAAGACTGTAGCTACCAGAGGGAAACCTTTTATCCATGCGGCTTGCTCTAGATTTCATCGTGACAGAGCCAGCCCTGGTGCACTGACTGATGTACACTGGCAAACCAGCAAACCTTGGATTCACATCTCTCTAATTTCTTGTAACATCTCAATTCAGCATCTTAAACAAGAGGCACAAAACTGATTAAACCTTGGGTTGACAGAAGGATGCATCTTTATAGTAAACTTAGTTTACTATATGGACAGCTCTGGCTGCCACTGTCACCTGTAAAGTCACTTCCAGATTTATTTCACTGATATTTAGAGTAACCAGTGCATTGCATTTTCAGGCTTACTTTACTGGGCATCTCTGTGAATGTTAGACCTGACCTTTATGGTCCCCTGGGAGAATGGGAGTTGTCATAACCTGTAAAAAGACTGATGTTCCTGTGCAGGGCATCAGTAGTGGGGTGCAGGGGATTTTGGCCGTTACCTCCTTCCATTCCTGCTGCCCTGCCTTGATCCCTCATTTCTGGACTGTGTTATAACACATGCAGCCCTGGAAACAAATATCAAAATGTGGCTGTGTCATTCCACAGGGTGGAGCTGAGGGTTTTTTGGGGGGTTTAGCGCTGCCAGGAGCTTCACATCCTTCATTTCCACTCAAGTGTTTCCTGCTGAAGAAATAAAACATGCAGCTTATCATATGAGCAAAACAGAAGTACCAGTTTCATTCTGGCCCATGATAAGAAAAAAAAAAACCAACCAAACAACAAACCCCAAACTGTAAAAGCTTTATCTAAACCAAACCATCTGATTTGCATTGGCAAGACCTGATTGCTCATACTTCCCTCTAGGTTTCTGAGCAGAGCTGGATAAAGGGCAGACTGGAGCTGAATGCAATGCCTGATTCTTATCTCGCACCCAGCTCACAGCACAGCATCCAGAAACTGTGAATCCTGGGGTGCAAAACATCGGGGTTTGAAAGGGAGGCCCTGGGCTGGCTTGCAAATGAAGGGGGCTACACTTCCTTCCACTTTTTTACATTCCTGCATGTCCACCAGAGAGGTGTCCCTGTTCTAATGGAAATTTGTGTTTCTTTGCCCGAGGTTGGATGGTACAATGCGGTTCTCCAGCCAGCCTTTCATCTCCCCTACCCAGATGACACGCTGGCCTTCGTGATCCTCAGCACCCCTTCCATGTTTGACAAGGCCCTTAAGCCTTTTGTGAAGAAAGAACGATTAAAAATAATCAGGGATCCCGTGGATCAGTGTATTTCCTATCATTTATCACGTGTGAAGGAGGTAAGAAGCTGAAATACCCATTCCTTTTATGGCATAAAACCGAGTGGGTTCAGCAGCAGACAGAGCCTTGCAGGCCCCTGCCTGTGCTCTTGGGGAGGGTAAAGTGTGATTCACGAAGGTAAGAGCATCAGCAGCCTGGGGACTTGCATATTCTGTCTCTGCCACCACAACCTGCAGCTGTGCAGGGACCTTCACAGCCTGGGCTGATGTTTTCCATTTTTCCCAGAAATTCCCCGACCAGAGGGTGGATGTCATGTTTGATTACGAGATCCTGCCGAGCCGAAAGCCCAAGTTCTTGGCACAGACGGCTGCCCACGTTGCTGGAGCTGCGTATTACTACCAAAGGAAGGATGTGAAGCACGATCCGTGGGGGAACAAGGTGAGGCAAAAGCACAGCCTGGGAAGAACCACTAAACTGCAACCACTAAACTGTTGTTTACTCACTGGTTACTTGTTCTCCTTGCAAGAAATTACAAAGTCCAGGTCACATAAAGCTGCATAAAGTATTTCAGATTCCAAGGTTCTTCGGGGTGGTGGGGAAACATGTACGTGGGGAGAAATATCTCGATGTGTTAAACCTACATAGAAGAACAAATTGCAGTGCAAGGCAGGCCTGTTGCTTGGAGCATCAATAAGTGGGGTCAAAACACACTCTGGTTAATTTGGGTGTTAGATTTTCAGAAGGGAACCTCTCCCTCCGTTATGGGGTGGGGTGTGCGGGCACAGGAGAATAGGAGTGAAAAGTGATGCTTTGAACCACACATCCAGGAAAGAGCTTTCCCTTCTGCTCTGTACAGCACTCCAGCAGAGGGCTGGGAGTGTGACAAATTGCACTGAAGCTTGATGCTGTGAAGTCTAACCTTTACTAGAGACACAAAGTGAGACATCCTAGCTGTCTCTTTTTTTTTATTATTTCCAGAAGATCTATGGCGTGTGTATCCATCCCAAGTATGGCGGTTGGTTTGCCATCCGGGGTCTCCTCCTGTTCCCAGACATTCAGGTGCTGTTCCTGGAGCAGCCTGCCCCTGTTGACTGTGTGAGCACAGAGGAGAAAAGGATTGAGTTGCTGGAGCAGTTCAATTTCCACTGGCAGGACGGGCGCTACAGGGACATCATCGAGGTGAAGGAAAGGTATTCGGAGGAGCAGAGAGTCTACTTTGCCACCCCTCCAGCGGAGAGATTCCGCCTGCTGGGGCTGACACAGGAAGCCCAGAGGATCGCATTTCACTGAGGAACTGGCTCCAGGGAGGGCCAGAGGGCAGCAAAGTGTAGCTCATCAGCACCAACCTTTCCCTGTGGTGCCGAGGAGGAGGAGAATGGTGTGCCTATAAAGAGGTGGCAAATCCGAGCAGTGTGGGCAGCATCTCTGTCCAAACATCAGTTCCCAGGGAGAGGGAGGAGCACTGCTCCATGGCACTCGTGGTCTGGGGGAAGGTGGAGTAGTGCCTTCCATGCTGCTGATGATCAGGTGTGTCTTTTGGGGAGTCCATCTTTTTGGTAGGATACTGATTGGCTTTGGTTGGGAATAGTTCAGGCACCCTGGCACCTGGAAAACCCGTGCTGCTCATTAGAGAAGTCATTTTTGTTCTCAAGAATTGTCTTTCCTAATGTATTTGTAAATGTATAAGAAGATCAGCCACTCTACCCCAAAATTTTATTGTGTCTGAACTCAGGGCAAATACTTTTTAAGGTGTATCCAGCATCCATCCATCCCATGTCACAGCTCTCCCTAGGGAACAGATGTTCGGTCTTTCCAGTCTTGCCTTCCTCAGAAAGAAAATCTGCCCTGTATTCCTTCCCTGGGAACAAAGCTGGCTTAATTTAATTAAGAAATCTTTTTAATGCCTCCTTTCCTTACCATCCAAAAGAAAATTCCCCAGGGATTGTTTCAGGGAGTAGTGTGGTCTGTACGTGGAGCAGGAGTGAGGGGAACAGAGCCAGCAGCAGCTGCTTCCTTCAGGGTGGTTAAGAAAGGGAAAGGGGGAGTACAAAGGTGCTGTTTCCTCTTCACCCAGAGCTTCTCAGAACACCACGACATCCTTAGGTCCATTTTAAACACCTGCCCATTTATGGAGCAGCTGACTGAAACATTGGGAAAGATGAGTAATCTGTGTGTGAGTGGAGGTTTTACTCCTGTCGAGGTAACTGACTGGACAGGACAATTCTCATTCTGAGGTAGATGACATTTGTATTTAAAACAGTTCTCGGTGCCAGCACACACCAACCCCCCCCAGAGTTACTGCCAGAGTTTGCTGGTGTGCCCTCTGCGTGGGGGAGATTGTAAACCTGCACACGCTTCAAAACCATCACACGAAGCCTTGTCACACACACACAGGCAAACAAGCAGAGAAAAAAGGAAAATATTAATGACATTCATGTTACTTACATTGCTGGATAAGCCATTTTTAGACAGAAACATAATATTCACTGATGCCTTTGTCCTGTTAGGTTTGTTCAGAGGTTACAATGGCGCCGGGAACCGGGAATTGATTTGTCTTCGAGCAATTTGAGGCTCAGGCCTTTAAAATAATATTTTATGGGATTTGTTTTGCCTGACTCCAGTTCAATGCTGCAAATCACTAAGCACTTTTTTTCCTTTCAGTGGTATCAACATGCTGCAAAATTACTCACTTTGCAGAACTGAGCCCTTTCTTTTTATGTTGTGATTCTTCCTACCTTTTGGAGACTCAAACATGAAGGTTGCCCTCACAAGAAGTCACTGCTTGGTACAGTTTCTCATAGTCTGTGCACTAAATGTAATCTAAATTCAGTATAACAGGTTTGTTTCCCTGTAGACAGAGTAGTGAGCTTGTGATCACTGGGTTTGTTCAGTGCATTTGCTGTTACAAAAAAGTCTTTGTTGCTTTCCATGCTTTGTTCACATCTGACTGAGGCAGACACCTGACTTACTGTTGTGATGGAGGTATTGTGATTTTTAATTTAGGTAAAAGAATGAAATTTGTTTAAATTCTGTTCTTTTGTTATAGAATTACTTCTGGCTGAAAGTTGTTTGACCTTTCAGAACTTTCCAGCTGATCTGTAATTTAACAGGGGCTTGAGCTAATGGCTCATATTAATAACAAACACAAAATACTGATTATCTCAGAAGGGTAAATATAGAATGGAATAAGATCTGTCTTTCTACATTACGATTTAAATTAAAATATTTTGATTTTTTTGCATTGATAGCTTACAAATATTTAATATTTTGTCTTAGTTAATTTATTAAACAGATTACCACCGCCACGGCATTTCAATTTTTGTAATTTATTTCTCTTCACATGGTATTTTGGTTAATAAAATATACAAAGCTGTGAGTAACCCTCAGTACTGAGTATTTTTATTTAAACAGTGCATTTTATAACTTGTGGAGAGCTCAAGATGTTCGAGTGAGGATCGGTCATGGTGTTTTCAGCATCCTGAAAATAGTGAGCTACCTAAGAGACAAAATCCAGTATCTGAAAACTAAGGAAAAAAGTTAGTTATCTCAGCAGAAGTTAATGAACTATTGTCACAAGCTCATCTGAGATATAAAAAAATTAAATAAATAATTTCGGAGTGACCTGGGTTGGGTGTCTCTGCCTTTTCCTCAGTCAGATCCACAGCTGCGAGCGAGTCGTTTTCTCTCCTTGCTGCTTGGAGCGTAATGGTCTTCTTGTCTTATAAAATTGAAAGCTTGAGAACCTGTTTGACTCATCTCCTCTCTTGGGGCAAGACCAGACAGGGTGAGGAATGGATGATCCTCAGATCAGGCGTTCTGATTTTTCAGCACTCGCAAATGTCGAGCAAGTAATTGCAAACACTTGGATAGATTTACTAGTTCAGGTATCACATTTTACATTTTTTAGACAAGCAGGTTTTTCTCTAAATCCTAGCCTTTAAACATTTATTAAAGACTTTTTTTTTTTTTTTTTTTTTTGGCTCAGCATGACTGGTAGGGTGAGTATTGAAGAGCTGAACAGTAAAAATAAAATAAATTAAAACCTACTTGAATTTAAATTCAGTTTTAGCAGCAAGATAATCAGTACATTTCAAGCTAATAAAATATTCAGTGGAGAATTAACAAATTTGTAATGTTTTCATGCACATAACATACATCATTGTTATTCACCCTCAGTTAAATTTTCCCTTTTTTTACTTCATTAACCTTAAAATAACTGAGATTTTTATTAAAATTAAAGATGTGACAGAAAATACCAATTAAACACAAAGCACAGTCTAATCTGGTGAGGGGCAGTCATGAGTGTTACTGCTCAGAAAAACACCTGAGAAAGCACTGTTGGGTTTTTTTGGTACCGGTTAATTCAGTTACATCTCAGGGGGGTGCAAGAATAAGCACTAAAGTTTCTTTGTGGTATGGAGTGTGGCAAACTCAATTCCTGATGCTGATTTTTTTTCCTCCTCCCGGAAAAAGATTGGCTTGTAACGATCCTGTCTTCCTCTAAACTGTGGGAAACTGGAGGTGGTTTGCTGTGTAAATCATTGCTGGTGTGTCAGCCTCGGGAGGGCAGAGCACTCTCCTGGTTTGTTGTTTGGGTGGGGGTTTCAAAGTTTGGCTTGGTTTGGGGTTTTTGGAATGTTGTTTTGTTTTTTTTTTTTTTAGAGCTAGATTGCCCTCCTCTGGATCAGAAGCATCACTGTACTCAGTTCAGTATAATATTCATGATGTTTTATTAATTTGTGACCAAAAGTGGTGTAGCTACTATTCAGCATTTCTGAAGAGGCACAGTGGCTTGAGTTTGACTTAAAAAAAAACCCCAAAACCGAGTAAAGACTTAAGTATTTCTAAAAACAAGGAGTGGCAGCTCCTGACCGGCACCGCTGTGGTTATCACCACTCATTGTTCAGCCCCGTGCAAAACGTACATTCAATAAATTAGCTTTGAATGCTGATTTAAGCAGCAGCAGCTCAAAGTTCCTCCTCTGAGGGGAAGTGGTTTTGCCGTTGACTGCAGCAGAGAAGCAGCTGTACCTCTGCAACCTGAACCTTCACAGATTCCCCTACCAAAGCAGACAAATGTAAAAAAATATATGTTTTATCACAGAGTGAACAGTAAGATATTGTAGTGGAATGTTTAAAATTTCTCCAACAATATGCCAAAAGCTGCAAAACGTGATTATATATGTAAACAAATATTTAAAATGTCTACAGTCATTAATATTACATCTATAATACCTTTCTCATTTTATGTTATTTTTGTTGATGTTTGTACACAACTCAGCCAGCAAGAAATTTTAATGGCTGCATGTAATTATTTAATTTCCCCCAAACACTTTGAAAGGTGTCTGAAAATCATACACTAAAATCATTACACTAAGTTGTTTTGGGTTTTTTTTCCTTGTGCAAAACAAAGCGTGGGATAGGAAAATTCCTGTAAGCAAAGACAAGGAAGGGTGGGAAGATTTTTCTGTGTTTCTTAAATTTATGCAGAATCATTAATTTTTCTGTGAATGCATAAACCCTCTTAATCCTTCTAAAGGAGTTAGCTGGTCTTAGGTTTTAGTTTCCTGCCAGAACCCTTTCTCCAGTATTGTTCTGACTAGTCTTCCTGAATTATTCATTCTTCCAAACGGTAAAAAAACTACCTTATTTTTGTCAATTTGATGAAATACGTTAAATTTAAATGATATTGTTTTATTAAGTGCAGGTTAAAGACTTCTTTCCTCTCCAGACAAAGGATATTAATCTCATTTATCAGTGCAAATACTTCAAAAATCTGTTGCTGTAGAATATGGAACATAAACCTACCGGGGACAGTGCAGCCTTAACGGCTTCACACATATTCCTGCTGAAATGGCATCTTGCATGGCAGCATTCTAAATTCAGACACGTGCCCCATGATACCTGCAATGACTGGAGTTTCAGGTGAAAGAGCCAAATTTCCCCACCGAAGCCCAAAGCTTTCATCACAAGGCGCGGTGAGAGTCGCTCCCCGCAGGCACAGCCCCTCCTCGGGAACGAACAATTCACGGCCTGCCCTCCTGCAGCCACCCCAGTGTGTGCAGCACAGAGGAGCTGATTGTGCAGAGCTGTTTGATTTGCGCAGGCTTTGGCCTGGACAGCTGTTCTGTGATGCCATCCTCCTAAATCCTGTGAGGTGTTTGAATTATACCAACGTTACAGGTGAAGGCACCAATCACCGGGCTGATACAAACACAGGCATGTGGACACCCACAGTAAAATCAGTTCTGACTGTGCACTGATGGATAACACCTGTTTTTTCTTTCCTAGGATTAAAACAGAAGCTAGTATATTCATAATAAAAAACCCCACCCTGCTATTTCTTTGATTTTCTTGTTCTGTGTTCTTTTTGCATGTACCATTAATTTCTGTTTAAAAAAGGGACAGCGACATCTTTAACACACTGTCTGAATTAAGTTGGCCAAGTGTGCTGCATTCCTACTGGTACCTCTTGTCTTCACACCACTCCTCTGCACTTACCTCATTTCACCCTTTGCAAATTAGAACCAAAACATTTCTGGTTTAAGTCCTCTGTGCTTTATCTGTCCAGCACTATACATCAGTCATTTAATACTAAACACCAGACCCACTGAAAATCTCATAGGATATATATTTTTCATACTGTTAATATGATAAACCTCATTATTGCAAAGTAATCTTGACATGACTGGTGTTTTGGTATATAACATTAGTAAAAGGTACAGTTCATGGGGCTTTTGCAAACATGCTTTCCTAACCAAAGTGCATCGTTTTGCAACACCCGTGAGATGTAAACTACTTGCTTTTGTTCTTTGCACTGTATTGATCTGTTGGACAAT